TTTGCATTGACAGCACTTGCAGCTGAACTACAGCTCTTGTCTGGATGAAATTGTTCCATCCTCATTTCGTGTTGCATTCTCAGTGTCATTTCTCAGAGCTGTGGTTTAGCCATGACAATAATTAGCGGCTGTGTTTTGGTCCATCGGTCTGCCATGGCTTGGGTCTGAGCCCGCTGTGGTCCTGCACAGCCCAGCAAAAACTCCACTGCAATGAAAAACACAAGCAAAATGAACAAGTGGCGCAGCAGCTCTGCACATGCAGTTGAAGTCAGAATTACTAAGCCCTCTTTGAATTTTTTGTTCTTTTCTAAATATTTCCTAAATGATGTTTAACAGAGCAAGGAAATTTCCACTGTATGTCTGATAATATTTTTTCTTCTGGAGAAAGTCTTATTTGTTTTATTCCGGCTAGGATAAAAGCAGTTTTTCATTTTTTAAACACCATTTTAAGGACAAAATTATTAGCCCCTTTAAGCTATTTTATATTCGATAGTCTACAGAACATTATAAAATAACTTGCCTAATTACCCTAACCTGCCTAGTTAACCTAATTAACCCAGTTAAGCCTTTAAATGTCACTTTAAGCTGTATAGAAGTGTCTTGAAAAATATCTAATAAAATATTATTTACTTTCATCATAGCAAAGATTAAATTAATCAGTTATTAGAGATGAGTTATTAAAACTATTATGTTTAGAAATGTGTTGAAGAAATCATCTCTCCGTTAAACAGAAATTGGGGAAAATATTAACAGAGGGGCTAATAATTCAGGAAGACTACAACTGTATATCAAGCTCTATGAAGTGGGGGACACTGTACTGATCACTGTCATTTTTAGACTGTGATTACAAGTCTTGTGCTGTAGATTCATTTAGAAGTGTGTGGTTGTAGCCAGTACATTCATTTACATAATATTACCCACCGTGTTTTAAAGAGAAATAAGATGTCTTGTGCTTTTATGGCATGGTCTTGCATGTTATTCCTAAATATCTTGACAGAAATGCACAGTTTGTCACTTTAATATCCCAAATATATCAGTCATATATGTAATTCCCATTTTAGATGCTATTAAAATACAGAAATCTATTAAGTTGACACTAAATTGTGTAATAAGTGCATAAATGTGCTGTTAAAGAGATAAATTTGTTAAGAGATGTCAGAAGTGACCCTCCACTTGTTCTGAGTTTCCTTTTATCTGTTGAACAGAAAGTAGATATTTCAGGGGGGAAACTGACATGCTTTTATCGCATGGTATTGCATGTTATTTCTAAATAACTTGACAGAAATGCACAATTTATGTAACTTTGTTTTCTCAAATATATCACTCATGTATGTAATTCCTTTTTTAGATGCTATTAAAATACAGAAATTGATTAAGTTGACAAGAAATTGTGTTATAAGTGCATACATTTGCTGTTAAAGAGATACATTTGTTGAGAGAAGTGACCCTCCACTTGTTCTAAAAGTATTTGAGTTTCCTTTCATCTGATAACCAGAAAAGTAAATATTTAAGGGGGAAATGGCATGCTTTATGGCATAGTGTTGCATGTTATTCCTAAATATCTTGACAGAAATGACAGTCTGTCACTTTAATTTATCAAATCACTTATATGTTAGATGCTATTAAAATACAGAAATTAAGCTGACTCTAAATTGTGTAATTTGTGCATAAATTTGTTGTAAAAGAAACTATCCACTCGCTGGCCCTCTATTTGTTCTAAACGTACTTGAGTTCTTTATCTGATGAACAGAAAAGTAGATATTTTTGGGAGGGAAACTGGCAACCATTTACCTCCTTAGTTTTTGCTTTTCTTTCAATAGACGTTGATGGCTGAGTATCCAACATTTTCAAAACTTCGTCTTTCATGTTAAGAGGAAAAAATAGGAACTGCACATAAATGTACTTTCCTTTTTGAGTAAACTTTATAAAATTATAAAATTATTTTATAATTAGAGTTTTACAATTGTGTTTTGTTCTTTAGAAGTATGACCACATTTGTTAAAAATTGAAAATAAAATGTTGTCATTGTTTTCCAGACAACACAATATCAGTGTTTTAATTATCAATCCTGATTTTTTTTTACTCACAACAAATTAGATAATTTGTTATTTTGACTAAACATCTTTATCTGAAAATATATATTTTTTATTTGAAATTTAGAAGAATAACTTTATGAAATAAACTAATATTTCACTTAGACATACCAAATAAATCCAGAGAAACTGAGAATTTTAAAGTGTTTTTTTCATACAGCTGTATATGTTGTCATTGATTTTAATTCAAAATTAAATACTGGAAGTAAAATAAAGAAGCACAACATAAAATAAAATGTGCAAACCATTCTAATGTGTGTTTGCTTTATAAGAAAGTTCACTGTAAAAGAATCGTGGTTGTTTTACATTTTTAAGCTGAATCAAATTAACCTTATAAGTGCGTTAACCTTATACTAATGTTAAACTGACTTAAAACAGCTTGCTTAACATAAAATTAAGTTGGAACATGAATAACTTAATTTAATAAGTTACAATAACCTAAAAACATATGCTGTCAAGAAGATCTCCAGAAAGTGTCACAATCCTGACAAAGTTTTATATAAATATTTTGTTTGTGTGAATGTTATTAAACTAAAGAACTGCTATTTCTCGAACATTAACATGGTCACAAATTAAACTATAAAGCCGCCATTTAACTTCTTTTTTTTCACATAATTCACAGATACCTACAACGTTTATTTTACTGACCCCACATGTGGTCATTTGTGGAATTTAACCACTGTAATAGTAGCTTAAAGCACTATCTGTCCGCTAAATGATCAGGCCTAAATTCAGGTAAACACACACACACACACCAATAAAACGTCTATTCTCGTACTGAGCGTAAAGTAGTGAAATGGTCCGGTGTTGTCGGTGTGTTTGCTGTCAGGAGCTCAAAGGCTTGTCAAAGTCTGACTGTATGAGCGGATTATGAACAGCTTTGATCCTCCCGCATAAAGCATCAATTGCGCTTTTACTTAGAGTTCCAAGAAAACGCCAGATCAGCGCTTAAAAAAGAAAGAGCAACCTGGGAGACCTTTATAATCACTACTCGTTAAATATTCATATTAAATAAATTAAACAGATATCCTCCGTACAAATAAACATATTAATTGAATTAAACTTTTATATTTTAGAGCTCCTGCTTGCAATTATATTTTAATCTTATAAGTGTTTTCGTTTACTATGCATTTATGGGACTTTAGTCTGATTTTACTTCAACGCTGTAAAACAAATCTTGGTTGTCTTAAATATTGACGCTTAATCAAATTAACCCTATGAGTCCATTGAATTTGCATCATGTTAAACTGATTTAAAACAGCTAGAACATTGTTTAATAAATTATAATGACTTAAAGCACATGCTGTCAGAACTAATTATTCTTAAATTAATTTTTCAGTGAAGGTATTATCTAGAAAATTGTTTGTGGGAAAAGCTGTTATAAAACTGCAAGTGTTTAATATGGTGATATATAACACATATAATATATGCAATGTACATTTTTAATCAAAAACTAAAATTTACAGATGAATGTTGAGACCATGTCAGCAAATGTCACGCGGCAGGGAAATTGTCAAAAGGTAGCCTATATATTCCGTGGTTAATTTTTTATTAATTTTATTCTAATTGCTCTTAAACACCCATTAAAAAAACTGTGCGATTTTTTTTTTTCGGCTGTGGAAGAGTAAATGCATGCGAGCGGTCACTGCTTTATTTATTGCGTGTTAAACAAATGTAAAAAGAAAATGAAACAGTTTTAAATAATATATAAATAATAATAAATAGTTGTTTATTTTAATTGAGCATTGTCGGATAAACTATAAAGAGATGACTGCTGATCGCTAAGGTTGTCTTCTGCCGTTTGAGAGGGTTGAAAATAATAAAAACCTCATTATTAAATATATAGATTGTCATTTTCATTATTCGTTTAAAACGAGACTTCCATTTGTGACTTAAAGTCAGGTCGATTCTAAATATGATATAAAACAAAAAATGCACATATGTTTGTCTCTTTTGATATTTATATGCATTTAGTTCGTATTTTTGTTGTGAATAATGACTGTACACAAAATACTGTTGTCAATGTCGCACCAATTTTTAGAGAGCAATTCAGAGTTGCTTCCACTAGCTAAAAACAGATGGAATGTGTATTATGGAGCAAACAAAAACTGGACTGGAGGATTGGACTGGATTAACAAACACTTGCAATTATTTTAGTTTTCTGAATGGAAGGCGTGGAACTCCATTCCGGCCTAATGTCACGCCGGGCGCAAATCCACTCGCCTTGGAAGCAATCAACTGCAGTCAACTGTTTTCAATAAACATGAAGAGATAGAGATCACATCAACACATTTAAAGGTGGCGGAAGACCCGCCAAACATATTATTATTATTATTATTATTATTATTATTATTATTATTATTATTATTATTATTATTATTATCATTATTACATTTTATGGTGATTATTAGCCTACTATTATACAATTATCATCAGCCTATATATCTTTTCTTTTTATTTCAAGACAGGTTGTAATTAAATTATTACATTTAACAATATTATATTTGTATCAATAAAATATAATAGCATACAATTTGACATGTTTCTGTTGACATTTCTGTCATGTTGGGTCGTGTTAAACCATTTTGATAACGCCATTATTGTACCTTTTAAAATTAAATGACTACTCTGAGTACAGTTTGTGACATACCCCATTTAATTACGTCACGTTGTGAAGTTGCAGTACAATAGATTTTTTTTGTCAATTTCTGTAAATATTTACAGCTCGCTATGCTTTTTCTATAGAAAGTAGTCTAATAATTCGATTTAAAACCGTGCGTAATTTAAAGGTCATTCTGATGTGACTTGATCGATGTCAGAGTTCAGCATATTTCTATAGCAAATGCTCATCAACTTCATTTAGGTCTCCCTGGTGTCGCGTGACGCACCAATCAGCGCGCGCTCTCGCGGAGCGCGAGTCAGTCAGAAACACACAGGACCGCGAGCCCGAGGTGACTTTAGATATTGCGCTGTTTACTCATGATTAAAGAAAGATAACACTCGCGTTCACCTATGAGATTCTTTGCAGTGGTTTTGGGATATACGTTTTTATCCAGAAACTCCTTTTGTCCCGGATTATTTGGGGATGGATCCGGTTCAAGGTCTTTCTCGTGCACTGTGATCGTTCAATGCAGCACTCAGACCATCATCGGGCTTTATGGACTTGACGGTTAATGATGTCTATGAGTTTCATGTCTGATACGCTGAATAGTTCTGATCCTTCCAAATCAGCATTTTTAGAGTTCGGCCACGGGCTTGCAAGCAACCAGCAGCATTTGTCGGGATTCGCGCACAATATTTACCCGGTACACGGATTGCACTCAGGCGGACACCTCCAGCACGATGCTCCCTACCCTTCCAGCGCTCCTCATTACAGCCGGCCGCTGGGATACGCCTACCCCGGGCCGGTGAGCGCTGCTGCTCCGGGTGCTTACATGCCTTACCAGCCAAACAACCACAGCGGTGCTCTGGCGCACACGAGGGCTGAGAACACGAGTGAGTATCTCCATAATAATGCATCAACCTTTGAGAACCTGATGCCCCGTTTAGTTCTATGCGCTTGTAATAAACTAAATTAACAATGCAGTTTATTTGGTACATTTTCAACACAAAAATGCAATGTATGGTCGAACTTTATACATGCATCGTTATTTTATATTGAAATAGCTAATATTAAGTAGGTTTGTTTTGCATATTTACTTTGCATTCGTATGGCGCCAGTAGCTAAAATTATTTTTATACACAGTGTATTACCAAATAAATACCAGACTTTAAAAAGCACACGGTCAAATAAGTTTTAAGACCATTTAGAATAAATCGGTTGCAAATGGTAACAAAAGTCTCTGTTGCACACACGATTCTGACCTTTCAGCAGCAAAAAGTAATTTGTAAGCTTTGCTAATCTTCTTTTCCTTGTATAGGCCTCGAACTGGATTGAAACATGTACATTAAACATGCACATCTTTGCATACAATTCAAGAATAATTTTTATGTCACTGTTAAAACGAAAAGACAATGAAATTAATGCATTAATCAAACGTATTTAAACAAAATGTTTATCGACGTGTATTCATGTTCAGCTACATTATGCAGAAATTAGAGCAATAATCACAATTCATGTAGGCTAAACCTAAAATAATATAATTGTTAAAATATTATATTTCCATACAATCTATATTAAGCTGCTAAAGTGTGTAGTTAGAATTGACTTTGGGTATGTGCACCGAAAGTTAAGCGCTGTCTAAATCCCTGTCAAGTTTTGCGAAATTGTAAAGAATCTTTTCTGATTTTGTTTTAATTATTAATATGATTGGTAGGATTTTTTATTCCTCCATAACGATATTATTACGCCTTTTGTTAAATGTCACTGTTTGCTCCGAAGTTCAAGTTTAGGCTCGTAGGCCTGTAAAATTGACATTAAAACGACGTTAATTATGGTTTACCGATCTTTAAAATGATGACCCATTAATGTTTCCTCTAAACCACCTGATAAATCTCTTATTTACCTATTGTAAATCAAGTCGACACTTACAGCTCTTTAGTGCATCATAATTTACGGTTTTCTGATGGTTAAGGAAGGTTTTGCAGGTGTGAACTGTGAAGACAGACATTTACTGTGTCATAATGCTGTCGTTTTATTTCGTCTGCATGCCTGAAGACCACGAAAAGCCAGCGGTCATTGAGAATGGTGAGATTCGCCTTAATGGCAAGGGGAAGAAGATCCGCAAACCGCGAACCATTTACTCCAGTGTTCAGCTCCAGGCTCTGCACCAGCGCTTCCAGCAGACCCAGTACCTCGCGCTGCCCGAACGTGCAGATCTGGCCGCCAAACTGGGACTGACGCAAACACAGGTAAATATCCATCATATTCTCTTCTGTTTGTGACAATGCAACTCGTTGTTCGTGAGGCCTAGCACTTAGTTAATATGGCAGGACGAGTGGTAGTTTTTATATCGAGGAGTGCAGATGTGAAACAAGATTGTGAGTTATATTATGTGTACAGTTTCATCTGTTGATGAACCTCATTAATGTGACGTCGGTTTTATGGCATTTGTTATATGTTCGTGGACAGCTGGAAGAAGCTGGAATTTTGACATAGAAATGTGCATTTTAGATTTTTATGTACGCAAAAACGATGTAAACACGCAGGTCTCATTAAAAATGTTGGGAATTGGTCGTTTTAAAAAACAAAATATCAAAATAAGTCGCATTTAAAGAAATATAGCAGAACGCTGAAACTTAGCCAGCTAGCAAAACATATGTAGGAACGTTTTCATTAAATTATGATAATTATATTTCAAAGCGTTTTTTGATGCAATTAAGAAGCTAGCATTCAGCTTTATAATTTTATTAATACTAGGCAGTGCTACTTTAAGATGTTCTCTGAATATTCTACAACATATATTTTGGGAAATCAAACGAACATCAAACTAAAACGTTTCTAGAAAGTTCCATGAAGAGACATATAGCCCAATATTGGCGTCTGCATTAAATTTACCTAAACGATTTATAAATCCATAAAAGGCATTTCAGATACAAGTCAAGTGTAACAAATATAATTTTTTTTTCTCAAATCATGGATAGAATGATTTTAGAAGATAGAATCTTCTCAATCGAATAAACATATGTTCATGTAAATATGAAACAACATGTTTATCCTTATACAAAATAGTAGATTAAATTATCCTAATGCTTTATTTTATTTAAAATAATTGACTTTTTTACTGACATAGTAAGCCATAGTTGTTTAAAGTATAGTAACAAAGATGGATAAAGTGTTAAGATTATTAAAATTGCAAGTGTTTGGGCAATGTTCCTTAAAAAAAAGTTTGGGGTCAGTATGATTTTAAAATTTTTTAAGGCTGCATTTATTTAATCAAAAATACAGTACAGATTGTAAAATTGTGAAATGTTATTGCACTATAAAATTGAGACTGAACTGTTTTGAACTGTTCAAAAGTAGTTTATAATTTAATTTAATAATGTATTCCAGTGATTGTAAAAATGTACTTTCAGCTTCATTACTCCAGTCTTCAGAGTCACATGATCTTTCAAAAATTACTCTATTATTATTATTATTATTATTATTATTATTATTATTATTATTATTATTATTATTATTAATGGTAATAGTAAAAAAAAAGCAATAACGACTGGAGTAATAATTTCATTGGAAACTACATAGAATAAGAAAGCAAAATGTATTTATTAAAATGTATTATTTAATAAATATTTAACAATTTAACAATTTTTTTACATTTAATAATGCCCCCTCAATAAACAGTATGTATATATATTTTTTTAATAACATGAAAAAGAAACTGACCTCAAACTTTAGACCGTAAGTGTACATGACAGTCGTTCCTTTTTTGTCAGATAGAAATTGTAAATAGATAAGCTGTATTACACTTCTCTTGCTTTGAATCTTGAAAGCCCTTTTAGTCTTGACCCATAAATAATAGCTTGAGAAAATTATGAAAGATTATTGTACAGGAAATTCTTCAATACACCCTTCCAGTTCCCTGTTGATAGCTTTTATTAACACAACAGTATTCATGAATTTTTAGCAGGCTCAAATGCACACCAAAAAAAAATGTTCAAGGCCACTGCAAATCTCTATGAAAGTAATTATACTGAGGTGAGGCTTTAGCTAGGTATCACACTGGATGAACGCTCAATGACTCAGTCATTACTGGTTTCTGAGCATTTATGTACTTTGTGTCATGTAGGCTGATTTGTTTCTGAATTGTTCAAGCTAAGTGAGGATTTCACTTAATCCAACCTTTACTTTCATTTTTACGTTAGCCCACTAGCTTTTGTGTTCTTAGTCTTTACAGTATGAGACAGTTTTCTTTTTCCCTAATGCTTATGGAGTTATCCCAAGTATTATTTATTCTTGATTGCTTAATCCTCGTGCTTAATAACACGTATCCAAGTGCTCGCTCATGATGGATTTAACAAAATATGGGTGTTTCTGGGCCAGTGGATAAGACAAATGAGTCTGTGCAGGGTTGTTTATATTTTAGCTATACTATCCTCCAATTTTTTTATTTTTTTATTATTATTATTATTATTTTTTGATGTGCTCAGCATCTTTCCTATGCATTCCAGTTAGGAAAACAAATAGATTAATAAGTCACCTATGCTTGTTTTGTTGATGTCACACCCATTAATGAGTTCCTGTAGGGTGGTGTTATGGACATTGATTTATTTTTATAAATCCTTCCTGCTGACACGCACACACTGTATTGGATGGTAAAATATCAAGGCATGCATCAAACTTGTGTGCGTCTGGAGAAAAACGTAAGCCTGGGTGCAGCCATATCGCCCATGGCATACATAGCGTAAGCCTGTTTTACATTCACAGTTTCTTTCCCGCCCTCTTTTTATATGCGTTAAACACTTGCCGCCCTTAGTGTGACAGGTTGCTCCTCAATTTTGGCCATGGAGAATGAGTTCAGTCTGTCCTGCCCCTTTAAGAGGTTTCCTGTCTCATTACGCCTCAAAGCGCATCAAAGTGTTCCTGTCAGCAGTCGAAAAAACTCCTCCACGTTTGCAGTTCAGATGGAAATTGCATTGCTTAGAATTAAAACTGATACAAGCGAAAATCCATTGTTTCAAATGGTTGCCAGTTTCCATTTGATCCATAAACGTGATTGAAGGCACATAAACAAGTGCCACACAGCGTATGCGTTTGGCTTTTCCAAGTCCCTCCTCACACATATAATAACATCGGTCTGGAATCCATCACCTCACCATAAAAGCTGTTTGGCAAACCCAATTCTTTTGGAAAGAAAAAAAGAAAATCTTTTTTTACGTGTGTTTATTAAATCTGTTGACAGCCAAACTAATAGCATTGTGTAAAAGGCAAGGCCGCTGCATAGATTTTGATAGTCTGAGGTTATGGAAACTGCATTAGGTGGGCTCTCTTGACTGCTGCTTTTGTGTGTGTAGGCTGGATTCTTATAAAGGCACAGCTTTTGTGTCTTTAAGGTGTTTCTAAATTGAGTGCAGATTGTGGGACTGCGTAATTATGGACACGTCTGAAGCATTTGTGTATTTACCATGGAATAAATACATTTGAAATGTCAAAACAGACATCAGATAGACTTTCAGACCATTAAATTGGGCATTGTGTCATTAATCCAGGATTAATTTGCCTGCATTTCAGGAACAAAAAGTCAGTTTTATAATATTGGCAATGGCATGAAAAGTGCATAAAATTATATATTAATCAGGCGGGTGATATACAGTATATATGGGAAAGATGGAAGGAACTTTAATTTACATTATTAACATTACTTACTTACATTGACATTACAAGCTAATTCACATTAATCACTATTTTTTGTACATAGAAAGTATGTTAAATACAGGTGAAGTGATATTCTGAAGTGCATATATTAAAATATGTAACCCTAAGGGTGAATTTTTGAAACTGAGATTTATACATCATCTGAAAGCTGAAGAAATAAGGATTGTTTGTCAGATGGGGCAATATTTCAAAATCTAGAGTTTTGGCATTTTAAAAAATCAAGATATTGAGAAAATCATCTTTAAATTGGTCCAAATCAGGGGTGCACAAACTGTTTTTGTAAGAAGGGCCAAAAACCAAATAGTTTCGAGAGCCATGGCCCGAAGGTAAATATACCAAACTATATTTAATTAAAGTTGCCATGGGTCATTTCCTGATTTATTTAGTAATCTTTCGAAATTAATAGAAAAAAATACTTAAAATCATATTAGCTAATGCAGCATAACTTTTTTAAAATGATAACTTATTACAATAAAAACATAAACAATCACATTTATAACACAGTGGAGTTCAATGCTGAGTACACCAGTCAAGCAGAATCTGCCTTTGACTTTATTTGCTCCTCGAAGTCTCTGCATTGCCTGGTGACAGGACGTACGTTTAAACCAAATCTGATTCATTTATACAATTTAATTAAAACAATTAATTTCAGTTTGCTTTTAACGATAAAACAAACAAAGGGTTGCATTAATTTTGAACTGACAATGCCAAAAGGATTCCTATCATTCTCCTTCTCTTCTCAGATGAGATGGTGGGCCAAACCAAAGGTTGCCATGCATGGGCCAACTTTGGCCCGCAGGCCCTAGTTTGGGCATCTCTAATCTAAATAAACTAATAAAAAAATAATTCTCAGCATATTTACTGCTGTATACTAATCAATTGTCTTCATGGAACATGATCTTTACTTAATATTCTAATGATTTTCGACATAAATTAAAAATGTTGACTCTTACAATGTATTTTAGGCTGTTCCCACAAAGTATACCTATGAAAATTTAGATTTTGTGGTGCAGGGTCATATATATATGCTAACTACATGACCATGCTAAATTTTAGTATATTTTGAATGATCAAAAAACATATAGCTAACAAATAGATCAAACTAAATATAGGTCTGTCATGATATCTATATTTTGTTGTTGGATATATTGCACCAACATATATTGCGATAAACGATATTATTGTTGTTGTAATTTATACCACCTATTATATAATGCCAGAATGACAATATAATAGCATCATAATGCAAGTGCACTCTTCCAAAGAACACATCATATTTCATTCTGAAGAATATTTATTATTTAATTGTAGTGATTTTAACAATTTAATAATTAGGCATTGGAATCAGAAAGTAAAAACGCATATCCTTAATAAATAATCATAAATGTTAACAAAAAAGTGCAAGGTAACAAGTAACAGAGACTATTATATCTGCTACCAGATCTATTTTCAGTTGTCAGACCCACATGAAAATATACTATAGTAATTTATAGAAAATGCTATAGTGTTTTTTAACCATACTGGCACTGACACCTCCAATAGAGATAGAGGTGTTGCACTATCAGTTAAAATGTTGCTTGAATTGGTTATGTATGGATGATATATATCACATCACCAAAAAAATGAGTGAGGTCATGTCCATGTGTTGTGCGACAAGTCGATATGTTGATTATTGTGACAGGCCTAACCAAATGGTTTAAAATGCAAAGTATAAAGATTTAAAATGACAATTAATGAGTATTTTGGTGCTGCACTGTAATCCTTAAATAGTCTTTTAATATGGCGTTTACAGAATGTTCTAAATTAACAGTAATTTATAGTATATAAACCCCTTTTCATCTTTGACCCATAAACTGGAATACCAATGCAATAAAAAAGGAATAAAACTGACCATTTGGATGTGGTTTAGTGCATGAAAGAGTAAAAAAGTTTGAGAAAAGCCTTTGAAGATATGTATTGCAATTGAAAATGTGAGGTGCAAATAGATCATTTGTTCATTTAATTATCTGGGGTCACCACAGCGGAATGAACCACCAACTTATCCAGCATGTGTTTTACACAGCGGATGCGCTTCCAGCTGCAACCCATCACAGGGAAAGCAAATAGATCAACTGTAAAAAAAAAAAAAAAGCAATTTAATGTGTACTTTATATGCTTTCAATGTACTAGCCTGAATAAAGATATGTGCTTTGTAAAAATATATATATTGCTGCCTCCAATTTTGTAGTTGAATCCAATTAACTTTTCTAGTCATCCCAACTTACATCAATCAATCTGACAAAAAATATTAAGTTAAACTTTTCATAACTTAAACAATTTTTACTGTAAAAAAGTCATTTTTTAAGCTGAATCAAATCAACCTTACGAGTTATATATTATGTTAAACTGACTTAAAACAGCTTGCGTACCTTATAAATTTAAGTTAGAACTATAGCTTAGTTTAATAAGTTACAATGAAACTAAAATATTTTTTTATAATTCTTTACAGTGTAGTTTAACCTGATTACCTTATTAAAGCAACATTCATTTATTCAATTATTTTCCTTCGGCTTAGTCTCTATTTCATAGGTCGCCACAGCGGAATGACCCGCTAACTAATTCGGCTTATGTTTTACGCAGCGGATGCCCTCCCAGCTGCTACCCAGTACTGGGAAACACCCAAACAAACTCATTCACAAACACACACACACACACACACACACACACACACACTCATACACTATGGCCAATTTTGTTTATTCAATTCACTTATACCGCATGTCTGTAGAGAAACCAGAACACCTGAAAGAAACCCATGCAAACACAGGGAGAAGTTCAAGCAGCATACAAATACTATTTCTTGACTTTTTGTCATTCAATTTTGTACAGTGTGGATATTGTAATCCCTAAATGCGTTCAAGTGGTTCTTTTATAAAAATCTGGAATCTTCCATCTCTCTGGAAGTCATTTCAGATCAGCTAAATTTGAATGTATTTTTACGCTGTGATTGTTGTTGTCAGACACATGCTTCACTGATGTCATAAAAATGGCAGGGTGGAACAATTGCTGAGCATGCGTGTAATGAAACACAGTCCATCTTGACAAAAATCTGTCTTGAAATCAGAATCATAATGGAAAAAGGGTGTCAGAAATAGACCACTGACGCCATGATGGCTCAATGGAGAAACATATGCAGCCTCCATTCTAGTAATGATGTGTTTTAATGCTCATTTTTGTGTGTTTAGGTGAAAATTTGGTTTCAAAACAAGCGCTCCAAATATAAGAAGATAATGAAGCATGGGTCGAGTGGACCTGAAGGAGAACTGCTTCACACATCCTCCTCGTCGCCATGTTCTCCAGGTTTGTCTCAGCTCTGGGAGGTTTCAATGGCCAACAAAGTGCCACCGATGCATCCCAGCAGTTATATGAACAATTACGGCCACTGGTATCCTCCACACCACCAGGATCCCGTGCCCAGACCTCAGATGATGTGATTGAATTCGGAAAAAATCAGAGCCAGAGAGACTCCATTCCGTGTCGACACCTGCCGTGAAGGTGCTTTCCTTTACAATGTTCTTGACTTGTGTTTTTATTGCTAAGTGTGTTTGAAAAGACTGTGTTTACTCTCTATGCAAGCAGGTGCTCCCGAACTCCCATATTACACTTCAGTAGCTTTTCAACCTTTTCCAGATCTTTTACAATGTGCTTGAAATAAAGGATTTATGAAAGGATGAAAGTGTTCATGCTGTGAATGACTGACTCAGATATTCAAAATATTCTTATTTGAATTGAATACAATGGAGATGATAACATGTGGTTCCTATATTGGCTTTGATAGTTCCTTTAACATCAACTGAAACTTTCCTTTCTGTAAATGTATTTATTAATTGTGAATTTTGTAAACTGTTATTTACACTAACAAAAAAGACTGGCAAGTTTGTATTTTAAGATGCACCCTATTTTGAAAATGAATATTTTTGATCAATTTCTCAGTGGATATGGGTAATATATATTGGCACATTTGAACAAAACAGATTTATTAAACAGATATATTTATTAAAATAATACATTAGTCACAGAACATCTTTAGAAATGGAAAGATAATACATTTAAATTCATCAAAATATTGCAAAAAAATTAAAGAAATACAAACTACAACATTTTAACGAAATTGTATATATTTTTTGTTTCTCTTGATTTTTGCTATTTTTAAAAAATGTATTTAATATTTTTTTTCCCTAACATAGAAATTTGCGCTATTAATTTTTGAACCATTATTGTGTTATTGTGTTAGATTAGCTCCAGATTTGGCTTCAGTACTGACCAAATTAATGTATATGCACAAATATAATATTAAAAAGCACTCTATTGAAAATATTAATTTAAATAAAAGATTTATGAGGGGTGTTCTCATATAAACTGAGCACATATAGTGATAACAAATCATGCATAACCCTCAAGGTAATGTTCATTCTTACTATAAGTTATAACCATATGCGTGTAGTTACTTAATAGAACTATTTAGCTACTCTATAGCAGAGGCAACATTAAATAAATCTAATTTTTTTTATTATAATGATGATAATGATTATTGATAATTATAATCATAATTTAAGAATTGTTTACTAAAATATTTTGTGATATAACTGAAAAAAACTGTTTTTGGCAATTTTACTCTGTTTAAAGAGACATTTTATTATTGTTGTTAATGATTAATAAACTCGAGTCATTTAATTTATTGTTGCCGATACACCAGAGATTTATAATAGCCTATAATTAGGGGTTCTGCAATACAATAGCACACAGTTATTTTCAAAATGAACAAAGCAGAGGTTGAGATTGAACAAATATGACCGCAAAATATGAAATATCACTTACAAGTTCCCAGATGTAAATACAATGCTCTTTAGAGATTATTGATTTGTTTTCGCCCTGAAATAGTCCAAGCACACGTTTATTACGATTAAATAATTGTGATCTAGGGATTTATTGTATAAGATGAGCTGGTTTTATTTAGTTTTGCTGTGTTTTGTTCTTTTTATTATTTTAATTTGAGTAAGAGTGACATAAAGGCTTTTGATGTATTTTCGAAAACATTCCCATGGATTTGTATAGAACTATCCGATCATAATTTAAAAATGATAGCCTATCCACTAGCCTACTTTAAAATCTCTATCTATAAGAGTACATTCATTGTTTAGATATAGATACATCAATGACGGGATGTGTTTTAATAATAGACTTTAGCTTTTTTGGGGAAAATGGCAAATATTTGAAATATACCAGTTACATTTAGCAGTAACTGGTATACATATACCAGTTACAAAGTTCTACTTGTTGATATATTGGTAATTTTGTGATTGATCTGAATAATTTATTGAATACTAAATTAAAAAACGGATCATTTATTTAATAATCTCCATTTATAGATTGCGCGAGCATATATTCAATATTGAATAATCCTTCTCCAACTGAAAAGGTTGAATTGATTTAAAGTCCATTTTTCTTTTCAGATAGGTAATCTTATGTAGTCAGAATCATATAAATATAGTCTTTCCAATTAAAAAAATAAATAATACCATGCAATTAATTAATTAATAAATAACAAATAAACTAGTCTGTTAGATGCAACAATGCAATGATAAGTGGGCATTAAAAATGTCTCTCAGATCAGCAAACATCTGCTTTTCCACGGGTTATTTCCCCCCTCTCTTTCTAAAGTAATGGTAAAATAATTCAGTGTGCTTACTGAGTGGATGTCGTGATGCCACCATGATAAATCACCACAACATTCAATCACGCGCGTGATGGGAATAAGACGTACTTAAATGTTCATTCAGTGCTTAAACTATATAAACACAGTGAACACGACGTTTGTATTACTGTAAAGAATCCCACCTTACTCTGGGGCTCGTTTAATGTCACCCTCAATGATTTATTGGTTGCTTTTCTGTTGCGATTATTTTCCAGAATACTCCTTTTGTATGTAGCGTTCAAAGACGTGGGAAACGCAATGAGAATTGTTGTTTAATATAACGTCTGAATTTGATTTTTAGGCCGCAGCAACAACAAAAAAAAAACGAAAATCATCTATATTAAAAGCGGGTTATCATTGAAAGTAAAGGGCGCCTTCACTCTGCTCCACTGTAATGAGATGCCACCTGCAGGAATGCGGGGTCCACTTGACCTGACTTTGACCCGGTTCACTCAACAGGGTCTTGTCTAAACAGCCTTGTTTAAACAGCCATATTACAAAGCATCTCTGTCATTTCAAGCTCTTTAGATCCAACCCAACCCAACTCAGCATGGTGTGGGGCTCTTTCGGCTCGAAATAAATCTGGCTTAATCAGTCGCAAGCGGCAATAATGTAAATTAAATTGCTGAGTGAATATTTTATGCAGCATTGTAATATAAATTAATGCGAGCCACATGCAACTCTCATGCAAATAAACAATAATGACAAAATTCTTCCAAAACCTTTTACAGCGTGAAACTCTAATATCAAGCACAATAATACGCTTTATAGGCCTCTGCAACATCTGTAGGAGATTTACAGCGATGAATCTACAGTCCCACAATCAGTTGTTCTCTTTTACATGTTAAACCGTCTCAGTGGCTCAAAAATACCCAACACGAAATCAGGTTGAAATACAGTGTAAACAAAATCACTTACCTACATCCTCCTGACAGGTATAACAAAGACACAGAAAATAAAAATCCACCAGTCTTCTGTAAATGGGAACCATCTCTCTGCACTTATGGTGCAGAAAAGTATGGAATGATTTTAAGATGCACCTCTTTATATACTCCCATCCCCGAGTTCGATTTGTGGAGTTGATCTTGCTCCGTTTACTTGTGACAGTCATGGGAAGAGAAGACAAGTGTTTTTGAATGAAGTAGCGAGCTCTCACATGGGAAATTATGGGCAATTTTACATCTCGAGATTAGAATAATGGGTGCTCAAGTCGGACAAGTAGAGAAAAGGGGCTTTTAAACAGGGCAATTACGTGGGAAGCTGATTTGGGAGAGCACTAAAGGGTGATGGGAGATGGACTGATAGTAGTCATGAGGTGCTGGATGAGTTTTAATTGAGACGCATTTGTAGACGTACAGTCTTTGGTGATTCAGAACGCATTCAGGTTTGGGACAAGGATGGAACCCGTTCCCGAAATCGTCCCCAGTTTGTGGGGTGAAAGAGAGTTCAGTGGTTCACAGCTGTCAAGAAAACCTCTCTCATTTGATCGTATTTACATTTGGAGCAGAACGATGCTGCTGAGTGAAGCCTGTGGACCCGGGCATTGAGCGGGTGTCAGGCAGCTGCCCTCTGTCTTTACATGGCAACATGTGCGTGTCCCAACCGCAGCTGACCTCCTGTTCAACCACCCCAGAGGCCTCCTGTGCCATTTTTTTGGATACGGTTTCTCGTCAAACACGTAAAGATTGGCCCTCCCTATCTTTATTTAGGTGTTGCGGTGCACTGAATCTTAGTATCATGTTCAAGTTCAACAGTTCAGGCTCGGACAGAGCACACGGGACCAAGGGCTTCTCGTCGAGGTGACCACGTCAGGCCACACACTCAGCTTTTGGGTTTCTCTGAATGAGCGATGTGTCCCAAGACGACGCCACCGAGATCATAGACCATAATTGAAGGCCACACACCACGAACAAGCCCAACGGAAAGCAGATATGTTACATATGGCCTAACTACAACTGCAAATATTGTATCAAACAGATAGCAGCCGTTCTTTATGGACCCTATGGCACAACTGCGTCAGATGAAAGTGGTAAACACATTAGAGGGGATAAAATGTCTTAGGGTTTGAGCTATGGCCATTGTACGCAGATGACGGGATTATCATGTTTTAAAGAGAACTAAGTGGCCTGACAGGTTTTAGGTGTGAATATGACTCTTTCTTCTCTATTGGAGGTAGAAGAGTAATTTAATCGCATGCGACGGCGAGGCGAGTATTATAAGACCTTTATGACTAATTCCACAACTATGAAACGGCCAGAAATGACTCACAGTTGACCAGCCAACCATCTTAAATATCTCCATCTATCATGGCATTAATAGAGTGGCATTTCGTTTTTTTTCTGTCAGCATCAGCATCTACATCCACCTATGCTTTGAATTTTATTGCAGTATTTTTGGATGCAAAATTTGTAGAGTTGGTCACCTAGATGGATTGTCTAGGTTGCTTGTAACTGACTCGACGTTGCTGTGATGTGAAACATCTCTAAATATCTCTGTATTTTGAAATACACTCTAAAGAGAAATATAAGTATTGTTGGTTTGATCATCCACAGAATCTTTATTAAACAAAAAGTGTTTATAGGATTGTCAAATAAAAATCCCATCCTTTTATTTTAAGAGTCCCCGAATTAGTAACTATTTGGCTCCCAGAGTTTTGCCATAAAGCAATACCATGTGCAATAATGTCCCATGTGGGTGGCTACAAATTACCCTTTTACACATTTAGATTCCTTAGAGAATGGTGGAAATATAAGAAAAACCAACCAAACACCGGGCCTTTAAAAATATAAAGGAAAAATAGCTAGACCTATATGTTCAAATGCTGGTCTGTTTAAGATTCCAATTTAGGAAATTCAACTTTCACACTGGATTACGGTTTTGTAGCTCATTCTGCATATGGGGTTGAATGAAGAACTTCAACATTAGCGGTTAGTCGTATGATGTCTGCATGAAAACGGATTATTTATGGTTTCT